ATAATATTAATTAAGATTGTTATTTTTATGTTACAGGATGCTCTTAAAGAATAACAAGCCTAAGGAAGTTTCATTCTAGAGGGCAGAAATGATATCTTGACAGTTGCAACAAGAAAACTAGAGCATCTGGGTTATGTAAGGGGCGTTGGACATGGTGTGGGCATAAGAGATTACTTTGGAGCACCTTTACACCCCAACTCAAGAGGTGTAGTAACTAGAAAAGAGCTTGAAACAGTGATATCCACTATGAGCAGCAAATTAAAGAAGAGTTTAAAGCTTCCTTCATAGACTAGCTTTTACAAATGAAAGAGAAAATGAAGGAAGAGATGATGAGCGCACGACAGGAGATGCCTACTAAACCAGTTCATACGTCTCCTGGATTTCATAGCACAAAAGGGAGTTATGTTCTTGAGCGTGTGTCAGAGGGTCTTTCTAGTAACAACATCGATGAACCACGCGAGATGTTTCTAGAAAATCCTGATAGACGCTTGGTTGCTCTTAGTACCGTTTACAACTTAAGGTCAACCATCCACCATAAGCAAATTGAAGATTATCAAGTAAGAGTAGAGGTTGAAGATCTAAAAGTGCCAAATATGTTGGTTCTATTCTCTACTGATAAGGTAAAGACTGTAGCAGAAGCTGTTGGCAATTTTATCCTGTAGCCTAAGAGACTTGTGAATATGGTTCAACCTATGGTACGCAATTTTATTATGTGGTAGCTTTCCCAAAATATTTTCTTACTACTATTTCTTTCTTTTTTATTATGTATAATAGCTTCCCTCACCGAATCTCGCAAAACTTCTAGAACCCTCGTTAACTCAACACTAATGAATGATCTTGATAGTGAATGATCCATCATTCAAACTCAAATATTTAGAAATGGATCCGGAGGTTGTGGGTAAGAAAGACATGATAGTGACGATTGAACGAGAAAATTTGCTTTGACTTGTGTCAAATAATCAGCTTAACACCCCACATATTGAATTATTTATGATGTAAGTTTGTGTTTCTTTAATGCAATTAACTTAATTATCAAGTCTAGTGATCTAACATAATTGTATTGCTGAGGTACCTTCATCATTTGTGCATCACATCGAGCAAAGGTGATAAGTTTGGATTCCTTTGCCCATATCAAATGACAGAGAAAGGAAATACTTCAAAGTTAAAGGCCCCGTATCTCTAGCAAAGAATATGTGAAGTCAAGAATGATGTTTTTATAGCTCCATATGTGCACTCATAAGGATCAACTTGTAATTAATAGTTTTTTCAATGTAGATTTACTTTAACTTATCATATTTTGTAGGGACCATTGGCAGTTGTTTATTCTTTCAATGAAGAGTAACACTATTATCTTCTTATGTTCCCTCTATTACAAACTTGGGAAGGAAATGAAAAAGATAATAGACTCGTAAGTATATTTGTGCAAAAATATTTAATATAATTTACATTCAATATTTCAACTACTAACTTAGTGATCTTGATTATAGAGCAATGAAAACATATCAAAATGTGGTCTTGCAAAAGCAGAGACATGAGCTCAAGGATCCTACGTGGATCGAGCCAAAGGTAATGCTATACTTTATGAATATGTTCAATTACTAAGATTTTTTTATTGATTTCTTATGATTTGTTCTTATACAAAGCCGTAAACAACCAATGAAGACGAACTTATACGACCTATATGTGATGAGGCATATGCTCAATATTATCACATTGAACGTGACTAAATTAACAAAAGAGGTAAATATATTTTTAAAAGTTTTATTTTATTATGTTATTTGAGAGTACATAATAAGTCTCTTTTACAAATTATATTTTAGATGTTTGACAATTTCGATCTATTCCCCGAAGCTAAAATTGAAGACATCCGCTTGCGTTAGACAACTTATGTTGGGGAGAATTTGTGAGTTTTTTAAAAAGTTTCATATAATTTAAGAAATTTGTTAGTTGTAGATAACTTTTGAAAACATTTGTTGACACAATATTTTAGATAGCTCAATAGTTTTTAGATAACTTTCAGTTTTGAATAGTTATTAATTTAATTTTATATTAAAAATTATAAATAAATTGTGCTGTCTGATTTGGCTATGATAATTTTTATATACAAAATAGGGTAAATTTAAAAATACAAATGTTTATTTTAAAAATAAAATACACTTTTTACAGCAGTTATTTTCATAACCAGTGTAAAAATTACTATTCTACATTAGTTAATGTAAAAACTGATATAAAATATTAAACTTTCTATAGTAATTGTGTTCCAACCACTAACACAACTACTGTAGAAAGTGCTCCAGTTTAATTTTTAAATCGTTGATCCATTTTCTACATCGGTTATGATTAGCTGATGTAGAATATGTATTTTTTATAGTGGTCGCATAATCAATGTAGAAAGTTAGACTTTCTATATCCCCTGTAACAACATTGCTTATTTAACCGCTGTAAAAAGTCATTTGTAACCGCTATAAAAAATCATTTTTGTAATAATGTATGAGCTTTTTTATATAATAGGATATTTTAAACTCGAGTTGAATAAGCTTGGCTTGCTAAAATTACTGACTCTATCTACAGCCAAAGGAACAATAATATTGATTCATGAAATTGTGCCAATGTACAGTGGATGTGCAATGAATCAAGTGCCCCTCGATCACATGCGAATTCTTATAACTAATTTTTTTGTTTTTGAAATGTATTCCCACGTGTACTACATTTAAGGATGAACTTCATTTGCAGAAGGCTGTTTGCAAATTAAGGACTAGCCTTGAGTATGGAATGAAGAACAATGTCCTCTTGGAAGATATTATGTCATTGCTTAGCTTCTTCAATTCATATGATGTTTTTGTTTTATAGACAGAAGATTGCATTTTTCCTCTTTTAGTTTTTCTCGTGGTATTGAAACCCAAATTGATTTGGCCAATCGGACTAGTAATTTGGTGAATTGTTCATCTAAACATGGTTAATCAAGACATTGAACCAAGATTAATTCAACATGTTTTAGCTTGATTAACCTAGGATTAACGTAGTATAACCTATCTAATTTAATACGTTAGACAGGTTGATTGTGTTACCTATCATTATATCTATTTTACTTCTCACGAGTCTAAGAATGATGTTTTTGATCCAATCCGAGCATAACTTGGCTGACCCAATGTAACTTGTCTAACATAATGAGTTGGAAAGATCAATTGGATTGCATATTATATATATAGGGAGAATTATTTTAATATCCCACTTCAAATAATTAATTACTCTCAAATTTATTAACAATTGAGTTTAGAAGAATGATTTGTGAGTAATTCTCCCGTATGTATGTGTGTGTATCCCTCATGAGTCTAAAATTGATGTCATTTTGAATTTTTTAAAGAAAAGAAAAAATAATACATATTACACTTCTAAGATTTCACTTTCCATCTTTCAACTTTAGACATCGTATCCTTAGATAAATTGAATTATGCAAAGAAAGAAGGAAGAAGTTATTCAGGTGTAATAAATATAGTTAAATATGATTTTTTTTACATATTTTAATTAAATTATCTTTCAACTTTAGACATCGTATTCTTAGGTAAATGAATTATGCAAAGAGCAGAAGGAAGAAGTTATTCAGATGTAGTAAATATAGTTAAATATGAATTTTTTTACATATTTTAAGTAAATTATGTTATTTTAATCATAATTAATCTAATTTTAGTTTGATTTGGAATAGAGAACTAATTTTTAAAATTTTTTTAATAAAAAAACTATTGTCTCACCTTGATCTTTCTATGCATGGACTCTAACTAGCACTGGATGACTGAGTTACGGGCGAGCCCACAAGCTAGTCCATAGGGCTGACATTTTTGTGGGTTGGGTTGGGCCAACCCACCAGACAAAACGGGCTAAAAAACTTAACTCAACTCATTTTCTAACGGGTTAGCCAACTCACGAGTTGGGTCACAAAAGTTTATCAGATTTTTTTAATAATTTAAAATTTATATAATATAAATATATTTATTTATTTTACTTTTTAAAGAAAATTAAAAATTAAAGAACTTGTAAATAAATAAAATAAATATAAAATTTAACCAAGCAAATTCATTTTGCTAAAGTTTTACTATTAATCATCTTCTTATCTAGGCGTGTTATCTTTCTCAATGAAAAAAAAATTGAATGTAACCTATATTATTTTTCTCAATGAATTTATATTTATAATTTCAATCAATAAATCTTATGAGATTAATAAATAATATATATTTAAAATATTTCTATAAAAACTAATAAATTATCGATTTATAAATTATAACAAAAATTTTATTTGCAAATTGTAAAAAGAATTTACACTATATTTTAAATATAAAGAATATATTTGAGAGTCATATATTATATATTTGAAAAATATTGTCATTATTATAAATTTATAAAAAAAATAATGTGATTAAAAAATAAAAAATTATTTTTAAGAAAATATGTTACCCGCGGGCTAACCCGTTTTAGCCCGTTGGTTTTACGGGTTGAACTAGCCCAACTCATTTTAAAAAATAGGTCAATTTATTTAACTCAACCTGTCAAATTTTATGGGTTGAATGAGTTAGCTCGCAGGCTCAATTCATTTTTCCGACTCTAACCCTAACCAAACCACTCCTATTTTATTCCTTTTAATTTAAGTTTGCTTCTTTCAAAATTAACTAAAAAAAAAGAACGGCGTATCTTATAGAGTAGCAACTTGCTACAATTTTATTATATATTATATACTATATCTTTTCATGTTCATTATTATTATAAGTTTAAAACATAAGGTATATTATTCATACTTTTTTCTCTTCCTTTTAATTGTCACTTTTAAGAAAATTAGCTTTAATTTATTATCATTTAAAAATTTCAAGAATGTAAATTATTATTCTTTAATTACACTCTTATTTTTACTAATTCCAAAAATTTAAAAATCATTAATCACTAAAATGTGTGTGTATAATTTATAAACACATCCCAAATTGGTGAAAAGAAAGAAAAAGAAAAAAGAAAAAAGAAAAATCCGATTCATTACCCGCTGGTGAGAAGCAGTGGCTACTTTCCTCGCCGGTAAGGCTATCATGGTGAACCTATTTGACGCGAACTGGCCATTCTTGCTCTACCAAATTCAACATTCCAAGAAATTGGTAAATATCGTCACTCACCACTCCTCTCTTGGAGATTGGTCAGCGTCTTTCTCATCCCCTTTGTTCTATGTTCACTCTTCATTACTTCAAATTTTCATCTTTTGCGTATTATCCGTTTCATCTTTTGCTTCAGACAAAGTGCATGTTTTCCTAACTTCCTATGCTTAAACGGTTCATCAATAGTTAGATTTCAAATTTTCAATATATATATATATATATATTTATCTTTTTTCATTCTTGTGAAGATGGGGATGAATGTCTCACATGCTCCTTGCTTCCAATATAGCTATTATCTTTTAAATGTCGTAAAGTTGAGATCTTTTAGTGTAATTATGATTTTTTTTTCCCTTCAGAAATATGCTCTCAAGCTTCGACCTTGTAGTTGATTCTTTTCAGTTATCCAGGTTTATTAACTTCTGTGGTTTCAGGAATGAATTGTGTTTCGAATAATGTCTCTGGTGGGACTGTGCTGCTCAGTAAAGGGATGGCTATAACCCCACAAGAATCATTCACAGTTTCGTTAATTCTTAAGCCTAACCTATTGCTGCGTCTTAGTTTTCTTAATTATTTGCAGGTATGTCGCGTCATTGTTGATTTTAGATTTGAGCGGAGGATATTTGTGAGGCTGTTAGTTGAAGTTTGATTTATATGGCTTAATTTAGAGTTGATCACAAACTAAAATTAGTCACTCTACTTCCTTCTCTTGTTTACATTTTATGCTTGATTGAGGTAGTGGGAGGCTGAAATGTAATGATTTGGTTAATCTTGTCAAGAAAACTGTCCAATTCATGAAACTTTATATTTATGTAGAGATGACGTTATATCTTTAATTTTTTTGTTCCCTTGTGCAGTATAGTTGCAGCAAGATTAGTGTTCCTATAAAGATTAGAGCTCCACCACACAATTTTTGTCAACATGCATTAACCATCAGAAATGAAATTCCTCAAAATGCTGATTTTCCTCCGAAATATTCAAGAAAGGATAAAAAACCTTTCCCAACACCCATTGTTGAGCTGCGGCGAGCAGCTAGGGAGAGGCTAAAGAAGAAGATGAAAGATGAACCAAAAAGGAGATCTTTGCCACCTCCAAAGAATGGGTTGCTGGTGAAGAGCCTCATCCCAACTGCTTATAATGTATATAATGCAAGGATTACTTTGGTTAATAATCTGAAGAAGCTGCTTAAAGTGTTGCCAGTGCATGCTTGTGGGTAATTAAATTAATCTCTATCTTCTAGCAAACTTTTGGCTATAATAGAATTTGGCTTATTCAAAATTTGGGAAACTGGGTGTAACTTCGTTTATATGTGGTTTTACTGTGATTCAACAAGTCTGGTATCGAGTGCCATTGTTATTTCTGTCTTTTTGGCATGATAAGATCTTCACGCAGCTTAAATGGTTGCAATGACAGTTATATAAATGATGCTTAACTTCTAACATTGCTTTACCGCAACAACTCTTAGTTGTTGACTGTCTCGTCATTATTATAGCTCTGATCTAAGTTATTGCCGCCAATAATTTGCTATTTCCCTGGGTAAGTTGATAGGTATTCGTCTTTGTTTTTTTCTTCAAAAAAGCAAATGGTTGTATTATTAGATATAATGGTGATGTTATGACCTTGGATGGTCCAGTTCATTGGTAGGTTAATACCTAGTAGTTCTCATTGGTAGGTTAATACCTAGTAGTTCCCTTCCTCCTTAATCTTTAGCAAGCATGTTCACTGCTTGAACTGTTTAACGGTATCCCTAAACATACTGCCAGGGCTGCAAGATGTGAACTATTCTCTAAAGTTTGTTGGCACTAAGCAATTGGCTGCCTCTTGATGACTATGTAGGACATTCAAATAGCTTGTCTCTACACATTGTTTTATAAAATTTAAATTTTTCTTTCTATTCTCTATATGCATTTTCAGCTATACACATTAGAATATAGAGGGTAGAAATAATAATTTAATATGGCTACCATTATTTCAAATTTGTATTTACTAGGCAATTCTCAATGAATACAATTACCAATGTGAGGGTTCTTCATGCTGTCTTGTTTTAATGTACTTGACAATAATTTTATACACATCTTTGTAAGTTTCTTATTTTCATTGAACCCATGTTCCATAATCCATACCTTTATTCCTGCCCCCACGACCCCAACACACTCACACACACCATTTGGTTTCCTTAATGTATGCATTTAGTTGACACTTATTGCATTGATGTACTAGTGCAGGTGGTGTACTGAAATCCATGTAGGACCTGTTGGACATCCTTTCAAGTCCTGTAAAGGATCACGAGCTAATCTCCGCCATAGCCTTCATGAATGGACAAATGCATTCGTTGAAGACATATTAGTGCCAATCGAAGCCTATCACTTGTATGACCGTCTTGGAAAGCGCATTCTTCATGAAGAGAGATTTTCTATCCCCCGAATTCCAGCCGTAGTTGAACTTTGCATTCAAGCTGGTGTTGAAATTCCAGAGTATGCTGCCAAAAGGAGAAGAAAGCCTATAATCCGCATAGGGAGGAAAGAATTCATTGATGCTGATGAAAGTGAACTACCAGATATGGTCCCAGAGGAGCCTGTGAAACCATTACTAATTGAAATTCCTGATTCAGAAGTCATAGCTCCATCTAGCAAAGAAGAGACAATCTGCCTTGCTGAGGAAACTCTTGAAGCGTGGGAACAAATGAGGAAAGGGGCGAAGAGACTAATGCGAATGTACCCTGTGAGGGTTTGTGGATATTGCCCAGAAATTCATGTTGGTCCATCAGGGCACAAGGCACAGAACTGTGGAGCTCATAAACACCAACAACGCAATGGGCAGCATGGGTGGCAGGCTGCAGTGCTCGACGACTTGATACCTCCAAGATACGTGTGGCATGTTCCTGATGTGAATGGGCCACCGTTGCAACGAGAGCTTCGAGATTTCTATGGGCAAGCCCCTGCTATTGTGGAAATATGCATTCAGGCTGGTGCTGCGATACCTGAACAGTACAAACCAACTATGAGGCTGGATGTGGGGATCCCATCAAATGTAAAAGAAGCTGAAATGGTAGTTTGAGATGAATTACTCTTCTAAATCTCAAGAGGGTATGGATTGTGAAATGTATGCACTATGTAGGATGTTAATGGAATATGACGAGGATTGTTGCATAAATGGAGTATACTTCTCTTGATTTATGCTGGCCGGGGATTATTTGGTGGTTAAAGCAGCATGTGGTGTGAATATGTTAGTCTCTGAGTACCATAGCAGAAGATAAAGAAAATGTTGAAAGAGTGTGGTTGATGGAACAAAGAATACGATTAAAGCTTTTTATGCAACATCTCCTTGACCATGAGATGAAAATTACATTTTGTTAAACTAGGGGAAATTATTATTGATATCAAGATCCACTTAACCTTAAAAAAGTTATAGAAATAGTGATGCTATGATTGTAATGAAAATATTCATGGGAGTGAACATGTCTCCTCTAAACCTCAAGTCTGTGAAAATAGCTTGGATTTTTATGTTGTGTTTATGGGAATCAAACAACTGCTTGATTTCCTTATGAAACAAAGCCTCACTAAAAGGAAATGTTAATGCAAAATATGCTAGGTTCCTTTTAAGAGCTTGTGTGTGTGTGTGTGTGTGTGTGTATTTACTATGTATTATTTTTATGATTTAGTATTATATAATTTAAAGGTTTTGCAGACCCTCTCATTCATGGTAAACAAGGCATTTTTATTAATTTGGATAAATCCATCATTGCAGAGAACAAATGAATTGAGGAATTAGGAATAGCCTATGCCCTTCACGACTCTTGCATGTTTGATGTTTCACATCATTCTCTGGGTCCATAGAATTGTCTTAAAAGATGCAATAGGATGGGATTATGAAGTCTGGGAACCAATGTTTTAAAACCCAGACTAAATAATAAACCAGAAAAGATATGGGTTTCAGTTTTCATAGTATAACAAGTGAAACTCTTGGTTGAATGGGTGACATGAAAGGTAAATAAAAAATAACGTTAAATGAATATAATTAATACATATAAGAAACAATTTCACTATTTGTTAACAAAATAACACATAATTATAAATTAACAATATTATAAATTATAATTTTATAATTCATCAAATATAAAAAGATCTTTATTAAATTAAATATAAATAAACTTAAAAGTATTTACATACATACTTATAACCATTTGTATCCTAAAAAACTGGTCTTGGATTTATAATACAAACCTGTAAAGATTCCAAAAAGTGAAGTTGGCTTTTAATGGAGTTTAATTTTTCTAATTTTCTTAAAATTATTTGGCCTTATTTAATATTTTATTTAGACCCATCAAGTTTCCACCAAAAAATTCAATAACAACTTACCCTCAGTTCAACCCAACTCAACTATGAAAATAGTTTTTTGATGAGCCATTAATAACTCCAACAAGTCCAACTGTCCCGTCTGATTTTGAATAGTGCTTGGAACAAATCAAAACAAGAGTCCAACAATTTTGCAGGATGAGGATACTGCCAAGTCTCATAATGAGAATTGTTATTTCTTCCTATTGAAATACACACAGGCTCAATAGAATTACAAAACCAGTGTCAATTGGACGTTCAATCAGTTTGGAAACAAACTCGTACACATTCCAATAAGTTCATGAAAGAAATGAAAACAAAATCTAAAATATGACCAGAGGACCCTGTAAATTTACATGATCAAGGGCTTAGTCAATATGCACGAGAATATCCATCACAAAACATTCTGCTTCCTGTTTGTTTCTGGCATCTCCATCACCACATGCACAACAGTTATAGAAGAAAGTACAGTCCATTGTATAATGTGATAGACCAAGCACATTATTGCCACGCACAAACAAGATGGGAACAAGCCTAGATAGATTAAAAGCAAAGCAGAAAAACTGAAACACCAAACAGGGCATATGAACTAGATACAAAGTCACAGCATCTATTTATAAAAATGGCAGAGTGGCCTTGAAGCCAAGCTTGGGTAGAAGACAAAGATTCACAGCCTTTCAGCTAGGTACTTTGCCAAAGAATCAACTGGCTTTGTAGAATCAACACTTACAACTCCTCGATTCCTTATCTTAATACAAGCCAGATAATCAACAGCAATCCACGGGAAACTCAGCATCACATTATTTCCATGATCAACGGATTTGTCTTGAAGATCACGGGACTTCTTCACCCATTCAGGATGATATGTGACCAGGTACCAGGCTGATGCCTTCTGCTCATATAGTAAATGTTTTTCTTCATCATTTAGTTCTTCCATATTTGAATCCAATTTCTCAAAAGTTTGCCTAAATTCTTTCTTCAGGGCACTGTAGGCATGCTTGAGCCTTTCTTTAAGTTCTCCTTGCTTTCTGCTGCTGTATTTGGGCATGGACCAAATCTGTCCAGTTACAACTTCTTCTTCTCTTTCCACTTTGTATTGACTAAGCAATCCATTCAGCTGACCATCATAACAGCACTTCTGGGCCCATGCATCGTAAATAAACTCAACAGCCCCGGGAACCTCAAGGTTAGCATCATAAGGTATATCACCAGTTTCATGCTTCGAACTAGTACCATCCAAATCCTCATCATAAGCATCTTTGATTCGCCGGTAAAGCCTACCAAGGATTTTCTTGGATTTATAAGACTGGTGTGGCTGCTTCCCCATAAAATCAGGGTATAATTTTGGTTTCAAATGGGAAGGCATAGAGACAACCTTTCCAGTCTTTGGGAAATCAACAGCTGTGGCTGCTAGCTCAGCCAGGGCTATGCAATTCTCATCCAATGCACCATAGTCACTAAGATCAGCATGTACCACATGTGCGTTGCAGATTGCCCCCAAATTCTCAGTTACCATATTTCTGACAAAAAATTCTGTTATGTCCTGCAGAGTGTAAGAGGATATCCATTTTCAGAATACAGGTAATTACGCTCAACAAGAAAAACAAAAATAAAGTAGTTCAAGATAGGTTCAATGATAAAGTACAGTGAGTGCAGAGAATTGCAAGATAACACGCTGAACACCTTTAATTCTGACTCTCTAATTTCATATAATCAGTTCTAAATTAGGCGCTTGTTCCAAGTCCCTGGACACACTTCTTGTTGTTTTGGTCATGACTACTACAACAGTAATGTATTAGATGCCAATTCAGCAATATAATCTTAAGCACAAATTGTCACTAAATTACATGACACTGGCATCTCAGTAGTAAAAATGCATAGATTTGTGCATTTAGTCTTGAACTTCAATTTCAAAACCACAAAAAGATCAATACAAGTCATTTCTTCCTTTTATTTATTTTTCCATTCTCTACTTTTTATACATGTCATCAACGACCAAAAAGAACTTAGATATGAAGGTTTGGATATGGTTCCCATAAAGGTGTCAATAAAATGATGGCAATGCTACTGCATGAATTTGATAAATATGCCCTCAATATTTACTTTGATAACTTGAGGTTAGTCCTTAACCTAAACATGCTCCCTAAATTTTTATAAAAGAATGACAGTCTAACATAATATATGAAAGATATTAAACAGTATTATTTTAGTTTTGCCCATGGAAAGCATGTAACATATGCGAGAAAAAATGAATGAAAGAACACATACTCGAGTTGTAACTTGACGCGACAGAAGTTTGCTTTCTTGAGATATATACTCCATAGGCGTCCAACTCCTCTTGCTAGGTGGAATAAGGTTCTCATCCCACGTGACAAAATAAAGGTCCCCATCAAGATCACTTCCAGAAGCCTCATTTGTATGGGGTCTATCACCCTTTTGAGGAAAAACAAGACAATCGTGTAAATGATGTAAACCAGGAGCATCAACTGCTTCCAAAATTCTTACATCTCCAGGGTGAAGACAGGGATTTTTGGCAATAACCACAAAGCCTTTAACTACCTGCAGGTTCTTTGTCTCTTTAAACCTTGAGCCATGCTTTGCAAAACAATTTTCAAGAGATGGGGCAGAGACTTGTACAAAGCATTGTCCTTGTTCAAGGACACCCAATTCATCTAAGACACCCATCAGCCAGCGGCCAGATGAAACAAAGATCCTAGCCTTTTCTCTAAGGCCCCATAATTGTGCAGCACGCACAGATGTTAATATACCTCTAAGGTGAGGTTCCAATTCAGGACTGAAACCAACACTCAACATTATTGCTGCAGCATTTCCATGCTCGGCACAAGACTTTGTGAGAACATCAAAAGCCACATCTACATCCACAAGCATTTTGTTCAACTTTGAAACCATTGCCTCCTGCATGTTCCAAAATACATCATCAGGCACATTCAGTGCTGAAAGCAATGTCACGATTTGTCTATTAAGGAAACCAGGCTGAAACCTAGTCCAAGAACAGATCTCCAAAGTGGTGTGGGTCGATTCAAATTTGTTCATGCTTGATCTCAGTGAAAGTTGGAATGCATCATCACTGGCTGGCCAACATGCTACAACCCCTTTAAAACCAGCATATCTTATCTGATATGCTGAGGGCACATCATCCAATTTCAATTTCTCAGCTACTGCTCTTGCAAGATCTGGTCTAATAATACCAATTCCATCAGAGAAATCATAATTATTCCTCTTAATATCAGGTATTAACTTATAATCACGTGCTGCAACCTCCACAGTTGCATATGTAGATGAGAAGCACTGTCCCATCCTTGCAGCACATTTTGCAACATTCCTTTGATTGAACCTCCCCATCCAATCTCTTATATGATCACAAGTTATGGTCTCTTCAGCAAAAAACCATGCAGAATGATCTCGTAGTTGATTGGATGAGAAGGCTAGAAATGAATATTTTCGGCCACAGAAGTGAAAACCCTTTTCCAAGATTGTCTTCACCCTTCTATATATATTAGTCTTTTGTGGGAAGGGGTTCGACGTGATCTCCTTCACTATTGGAGCAACATAATAGTTTAGAGCAGATGCATTGATTGTCTGCATGCCTTCATCCATAAATGTGACTCTCAAGAATCGATCTGCAACTTCTTTGAAATTCCTTAGAACCCTGTTTGACATTTCAACATCTGGGGGTAGACAATATGCTTTGGTTGGTGTTATGACAAGTCTCCGAACCTCTACAATATCATCGGATTGTTTGGAGATCTGGTACAGCTTTGGATTTCTGAGCAACCACTCTTGGACCACTTTTAGCCTCTTGGCTGCATCAAATACTGGGCGCTTGTAAGAACATATGTGCTTGAGAGCAGCCACATTGACATCCTTAGGCCGATTTCTCAACCACTCAAAAAAGCTATCTGACAACCTGTGTTGATTGAGTATGCCTTTGTGCATTATTGCATTAACCAAGAACAAAATGTCAAATGCAATGCCTTCCTGGGAATGGATGCTGAAGAAATGATCTGACATGAGTACCCCATAAGAAGGTTCGTTCTTTATCTTAATAGGCTGGCTAGGTAAAATCTCTTGGACTCTTTGGTCTTTTAGATACTTCATGGCCTTCATCAATTTATTACCATACCTGACTGACATAGAAATTCTGTAAAAATTGCAGCGGCCAATGGCCCCACTTGGTGTGAAATCCGTGGTTCTGATCCATGGATCATCATCGTCTAGCAAATCATGTGTAGCAGATTCCTCAATGTCATCATCAGCAGTTCTGTACCAAATCAAAGGTGAAGAAGCCAACTGTAATAGAATAACTTCAGATGCAGATAACGGATCCTTGTATCTCTTGATTTCATTTATATCTCTGACTAAGAATCCCACCTGAAAGTCACACTTGATCACTGCCTTTTTCTCTATACCTTTAAAAGAGAAAGCAACGTCCTTGTGGAAACATATTCTACACATCTCATCAAATGGATCTACAAGAAAGTTTACCCCTTTATCAGGTCCTCTCCAGGCAACATAGAAGTTCTCTGGGTCAATCAAACTCCCAATTTCAACAAGAACATCGGTTAACTTATGAGGAGTTGTAGTTCTCCTCCTTTGGTTTAAGGAGTATGGATTTTCAGGTCCCAAGCTAACCTTTAAATGCTGATTCTGCCAAAATAGGTCACAGCGGCCAGCAGCATTGCAAGCCTCAGTTACATATTCAGGTAATGTAAAATGCACAAACGCATGAGGCTCCACCTTCTTATAGTCATCTGTTCTTTCAATTTTTGCTGTGTCAGCAATTTTAAAATCTGGATAAGACTCTTGAGGGGTTGAAGAAGTTTTGAGCCGACATCTATCTACAAGTCCAATTTTATCTTCCAAGTATGTCACAAGATCTTTGGCTTTGACCTGACCATCAAATCCACCAATGCTAACTTGAGTAACTATACTTTTTTTTCCTCTACCTGGTAGCTCCATTTTTTGGGTAGTCTGCAAAACACATGGTGCATATTTTTATCAGTTAAATTAGTTTTGGAGATTGCCACATGTAAAATAGCTGAGAGGAAAGGGGGTGTGAGAGACTACATTTCTAATAAGCTTGTTCATTAAAAGTAACATTCTTGTGATCACAAGTACTAAACTATTGAACAAACAAATAAGAAGGATTTCTGAATGCGTGATGGAGAAGGAGCATTATATTTGGATGCACATAATTTATAAAGTACTCAATACACAATCCACCAAATAAAGTAAAATCAACAATGAACTATAAGACAGTGAGAGAGACATGGACAAGCAAATACATAAAAATAGTAAATTAAATTTTATACACAGTTTAACACTTCCAGTTCTATAGACTGATTTTCCATGGCACAGTTACAAAACAAATCATAAGCTTGTAAGTAATACATGTTGAGAGAGAATCATGATATATTTTAAATCTTAAGCCCCTCCTTTCTTTCCCCACTCCAGATCACAAGCTTATAACACACAAACTAGTCAATAATAGTCACTGAATGCCAAAATTTGAGAACAGTTATCTACGTTTGTCGAGGACAGAAACTTGACTTCACTTTAAATAAAGAACAGCATCTACGGTATATTCATATGATTTCCCCTAAAAGTGCCAAACCAAAGAACAGATTGGCACTGACAAATTCTGGAAGCGATATCTTAGTTCCCAACTCTCCTCACTCCTCCCTCAAGGGGGGAAAAACTCCATGAAAACGGAAGCAAAATTATCTTACCACCAGTAATATGAGGTGCAAAAGATAATAGCAATCTACGCGATCTTTGGGAAATTTCTATCACCCTGATCAATTTGACCGCACAGTCTTCGCACGTTCCTCGGAAACAAGCTGACTTCCAACCTGCATACATTGATCGAAATAAACAAATCACATCTTACAGAACCCAAGCAGCCGCAAATGCGTAACAATCATTGGTATCAAAACTATGATTAAACCGCTCCCAAAAACAAAACAAAAAACCTGCATACATTAAGAACCCAACATATATAACATCGTATTCGTAGAGCCAATCCTCAGATACCTCTTGATCAGAATTTTAGTTTAAAAGTGAAAAAAAGCATTCCTTCACGAAAAGAGAAAAAGAGAAACCAACCTTCCGATTCAGTTACTAGCTAACACGAAAATCTTGGAGCGCGAAACGAAATGCCAGTCTAGGAGGTAGTGAGTGAAGGATTTGTAGATGGGGCTAGAATGCCATTCACTAAACTTCTCCACCAAGTTTACTCTCCATGACTTTTCTCTATCTCGCGTCCGCGTCACTAGGCTTCTCCTCTAAGCTCACTTTTTGCATGACTTGACACTCTCTCGCGCCCACATTGACCGGGTGCTGATCAGGAAGGAGATCCTCTCCTCATCCCTTCTCTCCTTTTCTTCTCCTCATCCCCATCTCCGCCTTTGAATAAAAAAAATGAACGGCTTAGATTCAATTATTTTATAAACAATCACCATAATATTATATTAAAAATAAAAAAATAATTTTAAACTATTAAAATTAAATCTACATAGTTTATAACAGCAATAAAATAAATAAATAAATTTAATTTATAAAAATTAATAATAATATACAACTGTGAATAGTATAGGCTTACTTTCAATAGCTTAAATATAAATTTATTTTTATTTTACTTTTATATGATAATATAATAATTATTTTATAAAATAAATAAATTTAGACAGTTTATTTTGTTGTTTAAAGGTGAAGATGAGGATGAGGAAAAGAAAAGGAGAAAAAGGATGAAAAGAGGATTCGAAAAAAGTGTGGCCCTGACATTTTAAAATTATTTATATGCGTTCAGTTAAATTAATTTTTAAATATTTTTAATATTATATTTATTAATTTAAAAATTATAAAAATTTTGATATTAAATATGAACCGTCTTCCATACTTATAGAAATGAGTATCATAGTACTCATTATTGACAAAACATGAACAGTTAAATTTAAATTTCAAATTTTTTATTTTTAATTCTATTTATCAAAATAAAAATTATAAAAAAAATATAAATTTTTTTAAATAATTTGTTTATTAACAATATGATCAATATAAATTTAATCTATGCAGTCAATTTCTTTTAATAAAAGGGCAATTATATTAACAAATAATACAAAAATATAAATTCTATATGATCCAATTTAATATTAAATTTTTTTTATGACTTTTAAAATTTAAACATTTAAATATACTTTGAACAATTCAAATATAATACAAATAACTTATTGCAATGTTAATTTATTTTAAATTTTTATAAATTAATCATCTAGGTGTATTCTAGACCATTTAATTTTAATATTAAAATTTAGTGAAATGAAAAGCCAATATTTGGCCACATTCAACATAAAACGCCTCTTTTACTCTTTAAGTGATGCTGCCATGATTTTTTTTTTTTTTTTAGAGTTGGACAAATAAGTTGCGAATCAACTTGCACACTAATGAGTTGACAAACTCACAGGTAAGCTTACAAAATACAATTTTAATTTTTTTAAAATAATTTAAAATTTATAATTAACATATCATGTATATATCTTCAAATTAAATCACCCCTTTAAATTCTATTAGACAAATCTTGCACATTAGGTTTTTTTTTTTTACTACTCCTAAGTAAACTCATGTTATTTTAGACAAATGGATATTTTTTTAATATATATAAAAATATTTTTATAAAGACTAATAAATCATCAATTTACAAACTATAGTAAAAATTTCATTAGCAAAATTGCAAAAAAGATTTACATTATTTTTAAAATATAAAAGATATATTTGGGAGTCATAAATTATAAATTTGAGAGATCTTATCATTATTATATATTTATAAAAAAATATATTACGATTTAAAAAATAAAAAACTAATTTTTAAAATAAGTTAACTCATGGGCTAACTTTTTTAACCTACAAGTTTTTCCATTTTAGCCTATTAATTTTGCATTTTGAACTAGTTCAGTCTATTTAAAAAAAAGAGTCAATTTTTTTAACTCAATTAATCAAATTTGGTAGGTTAAATAAGCTAGTCTATGGTTCAACTTATTTTCTTTATTGCCAAAAAAACCTATTTTCTCAGCTCTATCTTATTCCCACTTTGCTTCGTACAAGCACAACACTAGAAGTTTTGCGGGAGCGTCAAATCTTTAATATTTATTAATAAGCAAAGGGATCGAGTATTAATTATAAATTATTGATAATTAATAGGAAATGAAGATGAGGAGTTAACCACTTAACATAATGACAAGCGATGAATTAAAAGCATATTTGTCATTACATTACACTTGGGTCTCATTTTAAACAAAGTTGAAAAGGAAAATAAGTCTGGACAAAAAAAAAGGAAAATGGTAGAAAATGAACTTTAAAATTACTTTAAAGAGTGGCGTGGATAAGATGTTAAGCTATATTCTTCCTAAAAAGTTAATGTATGATTTGTCTATTTGGTTTTTTTTTTTATTTCCTACGCTAGTAAATATACTGTTTTAAATTACAAAAACACCCAATTATTAATTACTATAAATTAAGAGAATTGGTATGGATAAATTAGAAAAAAAATTAAAAAAAAGACTGAGGAAGTAATTTGTCTAAGTAAGTTCTATTTTCTTAATAATCAGGAAAGTTGAAAATCCAAATTTTTGAGAAGTTAATATTTTTTTAATAAACTTGACAGGATGCTTATATAAATTTTATGTGTGTATTTAATTCATGAAATAAAAATTTTCAAAATATCAGATGACAAAAATTATCATCTCTTACCTAATGACTTATATGATTTTAATTATATATTATATATAATAATTTAAAATGAAATAATTTTTCTTCCTATTTGAAATAAATGGAAACAAATTGAGCTAATCAATAATGAAATAAATTTGCAAGTTGCAGCTGTAATTTATTTTCTTAAGCAAAAATGCATGTTATTCTGATAATACTTACCTCTAGTGTCTTTCTCTTGAAAAATTACAATCAAATTCTGAAAAAAAAATTAATAATTTTCTTAATCTCATTTAGTACAAATCAAACTTCAATATTTACAAGTCATATTTTAATATTTACAAGCAATTGGATTTTTGAATAACTAATTTTCTTATTGAGACCTGTACGTAATTTTTTTTTTAAAATCACATTCAGCCTCCTTCCAAGAGAATTAATCACATATAAGGATTAACAATAAGTCCTATTAGGAAAAAAAAATCATGTTTCCAATTTTAACAATAATTTATTCTACATTAATTTTATCTATGATTAATTCTCTTCAAAGGAGGCTGAATGTGATTTTTCCTTTCTTCCCCCCCGGGTACGTGGTTAACAAATCTATATGCATGAAAAAAAAATCAATCCTACTATGGGTATACTGTAGCATCATGTCTTTTTTATTTTTCTTAGAATAACTATTCAATAAAATTTGGAAACTTATGAAAAATAAAAATATCTAGTAATATTTATTTATTACTGAACAATTACGAGTAGTAATATTTTAAAAAGTGAAAATAAAAAAGTTACTGATTTTTTCTACTGAGTTATTTCAAAAACAATTAAATAATCTGATATTGATATGATGCATGAATGTTTATTTTTAATTTTTATAACTATTTTTTTTACAAAAATATCAATAATAACATAAAAAAACAAGAGTTTATAATACTCAAGTAGTAAAAAATAAAAAATCTAAAGAACAAGGAGGCAATAAAAGATGAAGATCTTGATAAACATTAAATTCTACCATGCGAAATATAGTAACTAGCTTGTTGATGTCTTTCACTATCGGATGAAGCAAATAATATTCTGATAATATTCCATGAACATTTTTTTAAAATTATTTAGTTACTATATTCTATTCAAAAAAAGGTTAACAATGGAAGGCCAAAAGCATTTTAAAATGTTTTTTAGTTGGGCAAAACCCGACTTAACCCTTCGGGCACCAAGTTGGCCCGATATATGTTCGTTGGGTCTTAGATTAACCCAATGTGTTCATAAAATTGAGTATTGGAGCTAAAGTGAAACCCAGTTGGTCATCCTTAGGATAATAAACTATTATTGGACCACTTGTTTCCACTCTAGTACTCAAGTCAAAGCAGCGTGAGGCCAATCATGCTAAAATTACAAGGGTTGGGTGAAAAGTATCAAAAGGAAAAAATCCTTAGATGAATCCGATACATTGCATAATCCATAATAAATTTAATAAAAATGAAATTTTAATTATATTAAATAAAAAAGATTAAAAATTATTTTTATCCTTGAACTATATATATAAAAAGTCATAAATAATTATAAACTTTATTATGGATCCATTCTGTCTTTTAATTTTAAAGATTACTTTTTTTATCACCTTACTATTTTTTCAATATTAGTTGACTGTTAGTGGGCCGCACATTATATTTTTTTAATATTTTTATTATAAAATATTTCAATTGAAGGGCAAAAATAACCCTTCAAATAGAAGTTAAGGAACAAAAATGATTCTTAACTTAATAAAAATATTAAAAAATAGTGAGATTCATTAATAACTAATGGACGTTAAATATTTTTAACAAGGTGATGACAGAGGAAATCTTTAAAGTTGAGAGATAAAATTGATTCATAATTGAGTTTTAGATCATTTATGATCTTTTGTGTACAGTTCAAAAATAAAAATAACTTTTAATCCAAATATAAATTGATGCTTGATATTAATGATAATAGAAAAAACATAAGAAATTAAATAGATATTCTATTATAAAAATAAAATCATAAAAATAATGAAACATAAAAGTTTATTTGATTGTATTAGTGCAATTTTATTAAATGAACAATAAATTATGTAGTGCACTGGGTCTATCAAAAAATTTCTTAAATTTGTTTGGCTAATTAAATATGGTACATGAGTTGATTAATCACAGGTGGGTACTAACATGCAAAGTACTTATATGGGAAAAGAATGGTTGTTGGAAAAGTGGCTCCATGACAAAGTTGAGATATTAGTTGTATACAATTGCTAAAAGGATAGCTATGAGAGAAGGACTGATTTATATTTGAGATCAAGGTCTTAACAAAGTTAGGGTGTTTTTTTAATTCCATGAAAGTAATATGTAATACATTTCAAAGATTCAAGATAGATCACATTCATCTTTGAATGTTACGGAAGAAATTAGGAGATTATAGGTATGTTTGGTTTTTACTTTCTATTTTTTGTTTTTTAAAAACTATTTTGTAGTACATTTTTTAAAATTATTTTTTAAAATAAAATAAAAAAATTATATTTAATTGTGTTAATATAAAAATAATTTTAAAATTAAAAAAATTAACTAATAGTAATGATTGCTGATAGTTAATTGTGATAGCTTGTGATGATAATTAGTTAAGGTAATTATAATTTTTAATAATTAAATATAATGTATTTTAAAAATAAATAAGAAAAATAAAACGAAACAACTTTCAAATATATTTATTTTTAATTTTTAAAAATAAAATATAAGAACAGTTTTGAAAATAATTAAATTCAAAATGTTTATCTAATCAAGTTTTTAAATTTTTTATTAAAAAATTGTTTTAAAAATAGAAACCTAACAAGTCCTATTTACAAGAGACTATGATATGAAATCTCTTACAAACGTTCGTGTTTAGAGGAGTCAACAGTTATCTCGATTGGCTTACACGATATGACTACAATATAAGAAAAATAATAGTTAAGTCTTAAAAAAAATTAATGATAATTAATTTTTAACATATTTTTTTTAAAAAAATTAGTTATAAATATTAATTGAAATAGTTATAAATTTAAAAATTTACTTAAAAATGTGATATTTGAATTCTAAATATAATAATTAATTTATAATTCAAATTCTTATTTATAATTATTTAAATTGATATTTATAATTTATTTTATAAAAAATTTTATCGAACACTTAATTATTATTAATTCATCCTTTTAAAATTTTATTGTCATCCCCCCCAACAATATACCTCGTCGAAATGCATTGACATTAAGAGAAATGATATCTATTAAGGTTCCTTACACTCCATAATTTACTTGTCGAACTGATTCTTTAGGCTTTGCTTCCTTATTATATTTCCGAAAAAACATAATACAAGAGAAATTGTTATGATTCACTTATGTCACCTTGAGTTCTTGACTACAATCCATCAAGTATATGAGATGCTACAGCCCATAGGAATGAGGCAATGGAAGTACTTGCATGCAAATAGCCAAAGAAGATTAATTTTTTTTTTTAAAAAAACTCATTTCTAATCTATATAATCAGTATAAAAGAAAAAATTTGCTCATATTTATTTCTCAACTTTATTTATTTCAAAAAACTAATTTTTATGATCTTTATGTCTTATTTTTCCTTTGAAATAAAATAAAATTAATGCCAACATGTGAAGCAAAAAGAGTGGGGAAAACATATAATATAACCTTATAATTTATTCTTTTCGTTCAAAAATATAAAATATTTTTAATTAAATTTCACCTCTCAATAAAATAGTTACTTATTTTTTAACTAATCCTATCTTTTCATATTTACTCTTATTTAATACTTTACAATAAATATAAAATTATTATCAATAAAAGCACTTTTAGAAAAAGTAATGATTATATCTCGAAAGATTACAAATAAAAAATCATTTATATTTTTAAATATTTAACTTCTCAAAAAATACTTTATATTTTTTAACAGAGGGAGTATATGTTTGCTACTCATTACTATGAAGAAATATTTATCATCTAAAATTGATTCTAGCAATTTAAATTTGAAATTTTCAATCTATATTTCTTTTTTAACAATCATAAAATTATGTCTTTGTTTTAAATTTTTTTTGTTAAAAATATAAAAATAAAATTTTATCAAATATGGATCAACTATATCATGAAGGCCCATCTCAAATTTCATGTTAACTTGAGGTTTGAGGATAACGTTATTTATTATTTTTTTTTTTGGCTGTGTTTTTTATTTTGAAAAAAATTTATTTACAGCTACAATTCTCTATTTCTTTTAAGTCAACTTGAAGAACTCACCGGAATTCTCTTTTCTCCGGCGTACGTCCACTTCGATCTGCTCAGTTTTCATCTCAGAAACGTCAAATCTGTCTCTATTTCCGAATCACCCATTCCCAAACATCCGTATTGCTTTCTTTCATAGCTTCTCCTCATTTGATCGGCACTTTCCTCCATTACTTCAACAAAATCTCGATCTCAATGTATCACACAAAATTGGAGGTTTCAATAGGCTGTGATTGTGTGCGCGACCTTTAGCAGTAATTTTTATACATATACTGGTACCGATATTTGATATGTTGATTCGTCGCACAAGGGATTTTGATGACAGAAGAGAGAATATGATCCTTTTGCTAGCCTCTTCGTCGTGAATCTCACGAGTCTCCTATCTCCCGCCTATTGCACATGAAGATGCGAGAAAGGATTTTGGCCGCCCAAGTCACTGTCGAGTAAATGCAATATCAACGACCGTATCCTCGATGTTAACGACGCCGTTTTGATCAGCTAGATGCAATCTTAGCCGTCAGATAGGGACTAATCTCAGCCGTCCAATTGTCTAGAGGTTTGGGAGTTTTCAATTCATCGGAAAGCCTCTTGACATCTGAACCGTAGTAGGGGGAAACGGATTTGAAACGACAATTAAGCACCGGAATGGACGCATGGTAGTTCCAGGTGGTCGACAGTGGTGGTTATTGGAGGATTTGCGGCGGTGATAGTGGGGTTAGATCTTCGTTGGGTTGCAAAACTGGACGACAGGGGAGGAAGTCTTTGAGAGGGCGGCTGAGTTCCGGCGAAGGGTTGATGTTGACGGATCCGATGACGGTCCTAAATCGTTGTTTTAGCATTATTAGATTATTCTATTAAAAATCTTTGAAGAAGAGAGTTTAATTTGTTTGATCCATAGACTGGTATGTTTCGAAAATTTTCTTTCCCTTCTGCGAATTTCTCTTACATTCATCCGCCGAGAGTTAATTAGTCTTCTCTGTTTTCATGGATGAGAGCCAGATGGAAATTCCCTTGCATACAAGATCCCTTTTTGTCAAATACAGGATCTTTTCTCAACCACGCAGACATCAGTTCCCTTCTCTCAATTTGCGGGAGAGATGGAAATCTTCAACTTGGTGCTTCAATCCATGCCCTCATTATCAAGCGGATTCGGTCTTTTGATTTTGAAAGCTCGAATGGTACCCGCAATGCCCTATTCATTTGGAACTCTCTCCTCGCTATGTATTCGAAATGTGGGGAACTATTGGATGCCGCTAAGCTGTTCGATCGTATGCCTGTCAGAGATACTGTGTCTTGGAACACAATGATTTCTGGGTTTTTGAGTAACAGGGGTTTTAACTCGGTCTACAGTTTGTTTAAACAGATGCATCAGTCGGCGTGTGATCCGTTTGATAAAGCAACTCTGACCACAATGCTATCAGCTTGTGATGGTCCTGAATCTTCTAATCTAAATAAGATGATTCATGGTTTAGTATTTGTTGGTGGTTTTGACCGGGAAATTTCAGTGGGGAATGCCCTAATAACGTCATATTTCAAATGTGGTTGTTTTAGTCATGGAAGTCAAGTTTTTGATGAAATGCCTGAAAGGAATGTTATAACCTGGACGGCAGTGATGTCAGGCCTTGTACAAAATGAATTTTATGCGGATAGTTTAAAATTATTTGCTCAAATGCGGTGCTCTAGATCAGTTATTCCGAATTCTTTGACATATTTGAGCTCGCTTATGGCTTGTTCAGGTTTGCAAGCTTTGGATGAAGGTCGCAAAATTCATAGCTTGCTCTGGAAATTGGGGATGCAGTCAGATTTGCTCATTGAAAGTGCATTGATGGATTTGTATTCAAAATGTGGATGTTTAGAAGCTGCATGGAAGATTTTCGTGTCAGCTGAAGAACTGGATGAGGTTTCCTTGACTGTAATACTTGTAGCTTTTGCTCAAAATGGATTGGAGGAAGAAGCTATCCATATTTTTATGAGAATGGTGAAGTCAGGGATTGAAATTGATCCAAACATAATTTCAGCTATACTTGGGGTATTCAGTGTTGACACTTCTTTGGCTCTAGGCAAGCAGATTCACTCCTTAGTCATTAAAAAGAACTTCATTCATAATACTTTTGTTAATAATGGACTTGTAAACATGTATTCCAAGTGTGGAGATCTGTATGACTCGCACCAAGTCTTCTGTCAAATGGCTCAGAAGAACTCAATATCATGGAACTCCATGATTGCAGCTTTTGGTCGCCATGGGGATGCTTGTAGAGCACTTCAACTGTATGAAGAGATGAGATTGGAAGGTACAGCTCCCACGGATGTTACATTTTTGTCTTTAATTCATGCTTGCAGTCATGCAGGCTTAGTTGAGATGGGGATGGAGTTGATGGAATGTATGAAAAGAGATCACTGTATAACTCCTCGATCAGAACATTATGCATGCGTTGTCGACATGTTGGGTAGGGCTGGACTTCTTAAGGAAGCTAGAACTTTCATAGAGAGTTTAGCAGAGAATCCTGGCATATTAGTTTGGCAAGCATTGCTTGGTGCTTGTAGCATTCATGGTGATTCTGAGATGGGTAAATATGCTGCTGATCAACTATACCTAGCTGCACCCGATAGCCCAGCTCCTTACATCTTGATGTCCAATATATACTCTACTGAGGGGAAATGGAAAGCCAGGGCAAAAACTATCAAGAGAATGAAGGAGATGGAAGTAACGAAAGAGGTAGGTACTAGTTGGATAGAGATCAAAAATAAAATCAGTAGCTTTGTTGTGTGGGATAGATTGCATCCACAAGCTGATATAATATACTGGACTTTATTTGGCTTGTTGAAACACATGAAATATGAAGGATATGTCCCTGATGAGAGGTTTATTCTTCATCACTTAGGTCAAGATTTGAAAGACTAGGCGCTGCTTTTATTCTGACAGTAAAATTTCTTGTGAGGATCATGGTGATTGCGTAGAAAGTAAGCCAGCTCGCAAATATTTCTTCATATGAATTGGATTCACAGGCAATTTGCGTGGCTTCTGCTTGTTTTCTCAACTGAATAGATGATAAATTTCCTCTTGAAGAAAGAAAGATATAAGAAGAAAAATTCTTAGGTGATTAAAAATGGAAAAGAAAGAAAAAGAAAGGAATGGAGCAGACGGTGGAATTTTGAAGATGCTGAAAAACCCAATTCTTACCCTGTGTTTTTGGTGAATACACCTCAGTCAATATAAATAGCCGAAAGGTACTTCATTTTAAATTTCATTTTTGTTTATTAATTTTATTTTGTTTCAATTTGATATTTTAATTGTATTTTTTATGAAAATAATGTAAATAGTTAAACTTATATACTATAATGTATAAATATGATTAAATATAGTGGGTGTATATATATAGTACAATATGAGGTGTTGAATATGATAAATTTTAAAGTAGAAGAATATATATATATATATAGCATAATTAAGACATGAAATTGAATAATATAAAAACTGAGTTTTGAAGAATAAAGATATTCATAACATTCAACTAAAAATAAGTTCTCTCTAACCTTATAAGCAATGTGGAAATATTTGAAAGAAGAAAAACTAGTAATATAATCATAGATACATACATATATATATATATATATATATATTGAAGTATATAATAAGTGCATCTCATAATGTCTGAATGTCTCTAATTTTTCCCCTGAAATATAACTACGTAAGTGCTATGTCCTGTATGAACTTTCAAGAAGCATCCAATTTCTACGAGTCAAGCATATGGTAGTTTTAATTTGATTAATTGAACTTTGGTTGGTCAGATAGATAGTTGTTGTTGGAAAGAAGATTGCAAAGCTGTGGAGACAGCAAGCCAACCATTTTGAGAAGGATGAACATTGTCCCAAAAGATTGATTCCTCTGCTTTCTCACATACTTTGTATTGTTTCTCTCCTTTCTTATCCACACTGCCACATTCTCCTCCATTCACACCCACACAACATGGCTCTAATGGATTCATCATCCTTGGGTTTTCTGCAAAAAGGAACAAAAATTAAAATAAATCAAGACGTATAATAATAGATAATGGTATATTAGAAATTCCAGTCTCATTGGTTTAAGTGATTCCATGTTTATTCTTCTTTAGTAAATTCTCAAGTTTGAATATGTTTTATAGAAAAAAAATTGTTTGGAGAGCTTTGAAGTACCGCAATTCAGGATCTTTTGCTTTTTTTTTTTTTGGGATAATGAAATTTGGTCCCTCAAATATCAATTTGATTCTTGAAATTTATTCTGTATCAAATAAGTTCTTGAAGTTTCATAAACATATACAATCAATCATTATGATGTTATTTTTCCTTCAAGCCAAAAGGACTAATCATATATGATTTTAAAACTTTAAGGGTTTGATTGATAAGGATTAAACTTCAAGAATAAAATCGATAATTGAAATGAATTTGAGAAATTAAAAATTTCATTACCTCTTTTTTGATATAAATTGAGGGAGGGGATGAATTTCAAATCATACAATGCATCAATAGTATGCTTAGAATACCAATAAAAAACCCAACCCAAGGCTTGGTTTGAATGAAGAGGGAAGTAAGAAGAAAATACGGAGAAGGGGAAACGAGAAGAAGAAATTTTCAAAAATTGTATTTTTTTTTTACTATTTTTAGGAGTTTTCTCTCATAACTTTCATTTTTCTTTATTTTTCTCTCCATCCAAATCAAGGCTAATGGATTATTGCATGAATGCAAAGTATGAGCAATTTTATCCAATCATAATCACTCAACTTGCCCTTGATTTTTTCAATTAAGGAGGGATGCCCATCAAACAATTTTAAGTAACTTTTTTCTTTGCCAGACAAATTTAAGTAATTTTAGAGACATTCCTAGTCATGGTTTTGTATTATTTCATTTTCATCCCCTGATAACAAGAACAATTACTCATAAATACATATAACATGCATACTACTAATAAAAAAAATCAAAAAGAAAAAGGGAAAAAGAATAATTGGAGAACATACCAGCATGTTGTTTCTGCAATGTAGTGATAGTGTTGAGGAAAGCATTGTAGAGATCCAAGGTTATGAATACTGGATCTCCTGATGATGATTGACTGTTGTTGTTCAAGTCTTTTACTTTTTTAAGAAGCAGATTGTTGTGGTAATTTGCCAGCTTGTTTGCTTCATCACTGCAATTCTGATGTGAAGAAGACACTGATAAAAGTGGCAAACATCCCAAAGGTGCCACTAAACCCACTGCTATTTTGTTCACTCCCAGCCTGTGAATTCTTTCCAAATCCACAGAAATTTGGTTCACAAGTGACTCAGCAAAGGCTGGTAAGTCCTGTAACCAAAAAAAGCTCAAAAAAAGAAAGAGAGAGAGAGAGAGAGAGAGAGAGAGAGAGAGGATAGTTTGAGTATTTTTATGCAATTATCTGATATATATTCAGCACTGATTAAGGCATGAGTTTTAACTGGGAAAATTGGCCACAAAGACCAAAAAGCCTAAATATTGGGGCTTAAGTCTCAAATGCAGAAATAAAACTTGCGGAGACCATAGTCTTGGAGCAATAATATATTTTAAAGTTAAATAATAAATTTGCTCTTAAATTATAAGTCTAAGAATGTCTAGAACCTTAAATTTATTTTTAGCATAATATTTTCTTTCAACTTCTAAAAATGGTACAATTCAACCCTTAATATTAACAAATATTAACTTTGACCATTAATTAATTAAAAAATTATGTAAAAGAACTTCAAAAATAATAGAAAAGGACCAAAAAATTACAATGAAGGCTCCAAAAATTGTAGAAAAGGATCAAGAAAATTTTGTTGATCCTTTTTGTAATTGTTGAGATCTTTTTTCTCATTTAATTTTCTAATTAACTAATAGTTAAAGTTAATTTTTATTAATAGAAAGGGTTAAATTACATTATTTTTAAAAATTAAAAAAGAACATTACACTAAAATGAATTTAGGGTATCAAATGCTTCTAGATTTAGAGTTTAGAAAATTTTGTAGATTCTTAAAAAAAAAAAAAAGCGAATGTGCAATTTTCCCAAAATAAACAAAATATGATCTTAATTATTGAATTAAAAATGTACATAATTTTCACTGCTATCTTTAGTTAAAGGTCTGAAGGTAGATAAAAGTTTCAAATCCTTCTCCACGCCAAGTACGCAGCTTAACTACTTATCAAACTCAAGCAAATCAAAAGAACATATTGTACAGCAAATCACCGATCAACAAAAACAGGCATTAACAGGTAGAAACACTAAGTAGCTTAACTAACTACTATCAAACTCATCAAACAATACAATATTCACACCAAATGAGAATTCAACAAAGGTAATATCACCCTACCACGGTTGGGGCAAGCGGCAAGAAGAAGCTCAAATTTATTTTTAATTAAGGTCTAGAATTTGAGCCTTAACCGGGTGATGCTTGGTTCAATTGGCAAGGAAATTAAATCAGTTTATCATGATGTCTCAAGTTCTAGTCTAGAGATTTGCAATTGCATTAAATAAACTGTCCACAAGTTTCCCAGGATATAACGATCTCATAATACATTGGCAGTTTAGATTAGTCTGAGGAGGTGGTAGTAATACCTCTAGGTTTTTTAGGATATTGGGTGATTAAATCAAGAAATAAGTTGAGTCTTATGTGAATTAAAATAAACGTTCAAAGATATTCCTCTCAGCAGGAACCAACCCAACCCAAAACTTGAATTAACTATAGATGCATGTGACAACAAATGATTTCCCAAGCAATGTGAACATTTAAAGCAATTCAAGTTGACATGAGTAGTATAAGTGGATCTCGTCACTTACGTAAATAGTTGAAAATTCAAATTCAAGATAAATGAAAACCGAACCGACGGTCATGTCAATTGTTCAAGTGTTAATGTTCAAAATTATATTCGAACTGATTTGATTAGATTGGTCATAAACAAAACAGTTTGTTAAATCAGTTAAAATACACCAGTTTATTGATTATCAATTTAACTAAATGGGTTGACTTAGATTTCATATTATATTCAAATCATAATCCTCATGCATACGATGAAAATCTACTATTTATCTTTGCCACGTTGGAGAAGCTTCTTTTTCTAGTAGGGGCCCCTAACCCAACCAATAAATATGAGATAAGTAAGCAAAAAAAAAAAAACAAGTAATAGAAATCAACTAAGCCAAATAATACTGACCGAAGTGGATCCATTTTTGAGTAAGAAAGTGGAAAAATCATTGGAAGCAGCATTGAGGAGAGCAATGGAAGATTGAAGGTCTTGTTTGGTGAAGACATTTTGTTGAAGTAATTGTTGGAACTTGTCAATCTGGGTGGTCACGTTTGGTCCATCCACCATTGTCTGAAACACACCGGTCCCTCCATGAGCAAAATTCATCCCGTTCTCTATCACTGATTGGTTTGCTGACTTTCTTTGTTCATATGCCACTGGGGATTCTATCTTCACCAACGAAGCTGCTTCATGAAGAAGTAAGACAGAATATTTCATACTATTAGTAAAGTATATAGTTATTTGGTAAAATGGCAATTTGACTTTTAAATTATAGGTTTAGGAATGTCCAAAAACTTTGAACTTGTTTTTTTTTTCCCATTCATTTTCACTCTTAAACATCAAAAAATCATGACAATCAGTTAATTGACTAGAAAATTAAAAAAAATTAAAAATTACACAAAAAGACTAATAGAATCACAGAAAAAGACCCAAAAATTACATATTTTTTTGGTCATTTTCTGTAATTTTCAGGTCCTTTTATATGAATCTTTTGGTTTTTTTGTTGTTGTAATTTTGAGGTAATTTTTTATAATTTATTAATCAACTAATGGTTAAAGTTATAGGCAAAGGAAAAATTGCCAAGATTTTAAGTGTTTAAGAGTTAAAAAAAGTTTAAAATCAAATGCTCCTGAACTTATAGTTTAAAGATTAAATTATCAGTTTACCCTATATGGTTTATGTGACAGAATATGAACATGTTTGTTTTCACGTCAGGAAGACATAAACCAGTAAAATCATCATTTTAATTTTGATCGTAACAAACATGCTATAATATGAGACCTAAGTAATGTTACAAGTAATATTTTCATTGTTATATATTTCACTTGGTTTTTGTCCACAAATATATACCTTTCAAATATCTATATATCTATACATACATACATATATTAAAAACGAAAAGTAAATTTCATCAAAATATTACCATTTTCAAGACTTTTTTTGTTTATTATTATTACTGTATAGAATTTAGATCCTTTTTATTATTATTATTTTCAAGACTTAAAAATACACTTTTTAATAAGCAAAAATGAAATTCATAAAAAAAACCAAAATAAACTATTTAGATCTTCCTTTTATTTTCAAAATCTAGAAAACTTTTCCGTAAACAAAGGGCATTTTAGGATGATTTCACTAAATTTGGCTGATACATGGTTTTATTCTTTTTTAAGCCCCATGGATCTTTTTCAATCTTTGAGGAAAAAAGTGCACATTCTCAAAATAGAGATAAAAAGGGTATTTGTGTAACTTCGCCCAGTCTGATAGAAAGTTTTGTGTTTTTGCTGTTTTTTCAAAGTCTATAGAAGTATATATGGCTGTGCTTTGAAAATAGATGAAGTACAATAATTGTTAAGATCGAGTTAAACATTTTTTATATCTTGAAAATTTAAAAATTCATCAATGTATATATATAATAAAATTTATGGCAAAATATACTATCTCCAATTAATGCAAATAAAACCCCCCACCCACCAAAATTAATTGATCAGAGAGTGAGGCCATTAAAGCTTCTGTACTTCATATAGTAATGCCATCCATAAAGCCATAACTTGTGTTCGTATATTCATGAAACCAAATTAATAGACACATTTTAGTAATATTATACATATTAATAGAATTTATTTATTTTTATGAGAATTCTAATAAAATTTATTAAATATATTTTATAAATTTATTTTTTAAAAAATATAAATATAAATTAAAATATACTCTTATTTAATATGACATTATTTGTAAAACATTAAACAAAGAGAAAATATATTAAGGGAAGGGTAATATTAAAACATGTATAATTAATATTTTTTTTTTGGTCACCGTATCTTGTATTTTGGGATATCAAATTAACTCAAAAACATTTTGTAAATTGGCAATAATTAGGATTTAATATATATATATATATGTATGTATGTATGTATATTTTTTCTTTATGTAGTTGATATTAAGAAAACGTAATGAAATGAAGAACAAAAAAACGATCAGTTTACTTTAAGAGATTTGATATTTCTTCATTATAATTTTGAGAAAAATTCAAATTTAAAATTTGATGCTATATCAAATTCGAATGATTTAACAAGGTAATAACAAGAAATTATAAAAAATTTTAAAGTTTCCTTCTAAATTTTTCGTGAACAGACGAGGAAGATTGCTGGAGTACTGTTTATAATTTTAAAAATCTACAGAAAAAAATAAAACAGAAAAAATAAATAAATTACCTATATAATCAGAGAGGACACGGCCATCACAGAACCTGCCGGCCGGTGCACCGGGAAAAGTGTCGCCGTAGGGAGGTTTGAACGCCGGCGAGTTTAAGAAATTGCCGGTGTCAACATAGGAATCTCCAAAAACAAACAGCTTTTTCTTTACTGATGATCCTTCAATCACTGCAACAAAAAATAATCAGTCAAAATATGTAAACCATCCCAAACTAAAAAGACCACACACACACACACATATAATCAATAACAGGCCATGAAAATTTGAAGCTTGTTACCTGTGAAAATGGCAAAGAGATTAAGAAAAACGAGAAGAGAGAGAAGAGACAGATCATGAGTTTGCTTTGCCATTGAGGATGATGTTGAAGAGTCGGAGCTTTATGCCGTATGCCGTATGGTATGTGTGAAGAGGTTGTGCGGCTTTTTATATTTGATGAGACAGACAAATATTTATTATGCATTTCTGAATCCATGAGTTCACATTCTTTAAACATTACTTCCATCTTAAATTATAAAATATTTTTTAAAAAAATTTAACAATCCAAATATAAAATATTTTTTTAAAAAATTAATGTTTCATTGAATAAATTTAATATTACAATTTATGTATATTTAACTTTCATTTCTCTCTTTTTTAATATATTAAATAAAAAATATTTTTAAAAATTTATATTTTTATTTTTTTAAAAATATTATTGTTAAGTGTATTTAATAAAATATATTGGTATGTAAAATTTTATTTAAATTTTTTTTATAATTTGAGACAGAGAAAGTATAAGAAACTTTTTAACTAAATTACATATCCTAATAGTTTTTTAATTATTTCTAAAATTATATTTTTTTAGGGTTACCCTTATTTAATATAATGTCTTAATTAAAATAAGTCACATCATCAATCTTTCATCATAAATTTTTTATTTCACCCTTTATTAAATATTGATAAGAGTGAGTAAGTTATTAAAATATGTATATTTAATTGAAATAAATTTAGAAACTTATCCAATTTTTGAATAGGGTTAATGAATTTTAACATTTTCTTTAATTTTAGTAAAACATATTGAAAGTGATTTACTTCTTTTGATTTAAAATATAAGCATTTTTTTAAAAAAATTCATAATAAAATCCTTATTCTCATAAAAATATATATTGTCTTTTGTTTGACTCATAATCTCAATTATTAATGGACTTTATAATGAGTGAGAGATAAATTTAAATTAAAATTTAGATTAATAAATATAAGGGGCAAAATAAAAAAAATATTTTTACATGTTCTAGGTTGTTTATATTTTGAATCAAGATTAGTTAGAGAAAATACTTATATTTTGGATTAGAAAGAGTATAAAATATAAGATCATAGGAGTATATGTACTAATTCATATATTTTAGTCAGTCTTCTTAATTAATGAATTATTTTAGATAAATATATAGAGTAATTAAGATTAAAATGTACTCACCACCCTTCTGTTTTATCTAAATTACATAAATCTTCCTTTTGAGAACTTATATAACCTCTCTTGAAATTAAAATATATGTTACATACATCTCCTTTGTATACTTGATATTTCATTTACATCCACCCAATCGCTAACATCATAATTATCTTAACATTTCAATTTTCCAAACAAATATTTGTTATACAACCAAGAAAATTCTAATGCATACATTTTTAAACTTTTATTATGTTATAAAATTTAGTAATTTTTATTATAGGGTAAATGAGCAACATACCCTCTAAACTATAGCTGGAAGAGCATAGAAATTTTAAATTTATATATTGTATAAATTTTTCTCTCAACTTTTAGATTCTTAATATCTGACGCTAAACTTATTCAATTTTGAAAATGATGTTAAATAATTTTAAGATTTTTTATAATTTTAGTGAAATATATTAGAAGTAATTTATAAATAGGATAAAAGGAGAGTATACACATGAGTACTTATGTTTTAGAAAGTCTGCTTAATTATTGAATTAATTTAGGTAAATATATAATTATTAGGTTAATATGAAAGAAACCAATTTTTTTTGGTCCATAATTCCACTTTTCTTAATAAGATACATTCACACAAGGTTACAATGTTTTTACACACTTTTCACCAACCAAAAAAAAAAAAGTTTTTACACACCATGTGTATGAGTAGACAGTAAATGTTAAAACCCATATGATTGGGAGAAAAAAAATTACCTTAGCAACCCCATACTAGCTCTAAGCGCCCCAATTCCAATTGTATGAATAGGGCGGGATATATAGATAATGGCTGTCAACATTTTTTTGACATTTAATTTATGAAGAATGATAGTGAGGTCTCAAAAGGATTAATTAATTTAACTTAGGTTCCTTAATTTTCAAGAATTTACAAGTTTGGCTCTTGATTTTATAACTTCGTTGTGATGAATTTGTAACTTATTTTTTAAATTTTAACATAATTAAAAAATAATTAAATTTATTTTTTTATTAAAATTTAAAACACAAGTTATAAATTTATCATAATAAAGTTATAAAATTAATAGTCTAACTTACAAATTCATAAAAAGTTAATAGTTGAGATCTAAATTAAATTAATTAATTATTTTAGGATCTCTTTATCATTTGTCATTGTTGATGATGCTGAAAAGTTGGAACTTTATGCCGTGCAGTTTATGTGAAGAGGTTGTGGCATTTTGTACTTAACGAGAAAGACAAATATTTATTGTGCATATCTCAATCAATGATGTCACATTCTTTAAATATTATTTTTTAAATTAAAAGATATTTTTTATATTTGACATCCTAAAATATAAAGATAATTTGATAAAAATAAATTTTTATCAATAATATTTTTTTAATATTATTTTTTTATATATTCTTTCCTTTTAATATTCTTTTACAAATGGAGTATTGAATAGAGAATATCTTTTAAATTTATATTTTTATTTTTTTAAAAAATAAAATTATTAAAAGTATTTAATGAAATTTTTTGGTATGCATAATTTTATTTAGAAGACTTATTAATTTGGGAAGGGGGAGTATAAGAAATTTTTTAACTGAACTACTCCTCCCAAGAGTTGGTTAATTGTCTTTAAAATTACACTCTTTTCATATTTATTTTTATTTATTAGAGTGTCTTAATTGAAAAAAAAATCTATTTTTAAGCCACATTATTAATCTTTTATCATAAATTTTCTCTTTTACTTTCTATAAATATTGGTAAGAGAAGTAGGTTATTAAAATATATATTTAATTGTATAAAGTTAAAAAATTATTCAATTCTTGAACAAAATTAAAGAGTTAATTTTAAGGGTTTTCTTATTTCCTTGAAATCGATTTACAAGTTATAAATATGACTTGATGAGTATATAGTATATGTGAAGAGGTTGTGCTTTTATATTTAATCTGTGTTGGGGGGGAGAGAGAGAGAGAGAGAAATTTATTGTGCATACATGTATAAATGATGTCATATATTTTAAATATCATAAAATATTTGTAATTGAATTATACCTCTCAATAATGAGTTAATTGTTTTTGCAATTACACATTTTTTTCATCTTTACATTTATTTAATAGGGTATTTCAATCAGAAATCTTTATTAATCACACTTCTTAATTAAGAGTATTTTTTAAAAAAACTCATTAGTTACATTTTGAAAGACTCAAAATACCTAAAATTTTATAACTAGATATGAAAATAGATGAGGCTAAGCTAAGCCTTGTTTAAATAGACTTGAGCCTATAATAAAGGCTTAAAGCCTAAGCTTGTACACATGCATTTTTTTAGGCTTAAGTCTAAGTCTATCACAAGCTTGACCAAGATTGAAGCACTTTTAAGTAGGCTCATAAAAAGATTCAAAAAACAAGCTTTGAAACTTACATAAATCAATAACAAGGCTCAATCATTCAAACAAAAGAATATAAATTAAAAAATAATAATATAAATTAAATGTACTTAATATATAAATAATATATATATATATATTAAATAAAAAGACCTAAATAGGCCATACCTATAGACTTACATGCTAGGCCTTGAGAAAAATATGCCTAACCTATTTAATCAAATAAACCTTAAAATTTGCCAAATAGGCCTTAAAAATAGGACATGATCTATTTTCAACCTTATTTATAACATACTTCATAAAAATGTTCTATATTTTTGAAGTGAAAGATTTTTTATCCTATTAATAAATCATATATATTAAATTTTTATCATAAAATTTTTACCTTCCATTAAATATTGGTGAGACAAATTACATTTTTAAATTATGTATATTTAATAAAATAAAGTTAAAAATTTATTCAATTTTTTGGTTAGAAATAATGAGTTTTAAGTTTTTTCTTAAATTTTATAAAATATATTAAAAGTAATTTATAAATAGGACTAGAGGAGCATACACATACACACACATTTGAGAAAGTCTAGTTAATTAATGAATTAGTTTAGATAAATATATAAATGGGTTATTACAAAGGGATCCAATTATTTTTCTTCTATAGTTCCACTTTTCTTAATAAAAGATACATTCACACAAATTTAAAATGTTTCTAGGTATTGGTGTGTAAGTAGACATCAATGCTATGCTTGGCTCACATAGAAAAATAAAAATGAGAGAAAATGAAAAGGGAAAAAAATTGGAGCGATATAATTTTTTTTCATTGTGCTTGACTAGTGAGAGAAAATAGGAAGGAGAGAAGAGTTGTTAATTTTATATGACCAATAATAATTTTATTATTTTATAAAATATTTATATTATAAAATTTAATATTTTAAAATATATATATGTATATATAATTTTTATCATATATTATTGACTGAACAAAAATATAATTAAAATTTATTTTATCCAATATTGACAAAAACTATTTTATCCAATTTAAAATTTTACTTATTAAATTATTACATATATAATAACCTTAAAATTTAAAACCACAACCAAATATAAGATACTTAACTGAAAATTAATTTAAAAATTTAGAATTAGCATTTTTTAATTAATCTACAAATTAAATATATTTTTTTTAACAAAAATTCATGATCAAAATGTAATTACATTGCAAATATTATGATAAAAAAAGGGAAGCAAGTGGTAGTAACAAACAAATTGGTGGGTAAATTTGAAAATAAAATTTTCTCTCCAAAATCTTTCCATATTTGGAAAAAAAAGTTAGAGGTAAAAATATATAAGTCTTACATGTTATTTTGCCCCCACTTTTTTCTTCGTAGCAAAATATGAAAAAGTACTATTTTTTTTCAGTCTTTCCCCTCACTTTCTCTCCCCCTAACTTTTCTCTCCTAGCAAGCATAACATAAATGTAGATTTGGTTTCCTTGAACATCTAAAAATCTAGATAGTCCAAATTTTTCAGTTCTATTTTATATTTGTAAAAAAGTTATAAAAATTTTAATAAATCTAATCTAGCAACAATATGAATAATGCAGA